AAAAGAAGTGGGTGTATCGGTGTTTACGTACTTGCCTTGACAGAGATCTTTTGCCTCCCTTCTTGTGGTAGGCAGAGCCATAATAATCTCTGCAATTGTTGGGTAGGGTATGATAAAGTGGTGACTAAACCAGGAAAAATTTACTGGTGAATAATTTCCACAGCGTTAATCATTGTCTGAGCACCTCACAAACATTACTGATTGTCGTCAGTTCACAGATGGGGAAAGTGAAGCAATGAGAGGTTAAGTGACTTACCCAGTCACTTAGGCCTGGTCTACACTGGGGGAGGAGGGGTCGATCTAAGTTACGCAACTTCAGCTATGTGAATAATGTAGCTGAAGTCGACATACTTAGACCTACTCACCGCGGTGTCTTCACTGTGGTGAGTCGACTGCTGCCGCTCCCCAGTCGACTCCGCCTGCGCCTCTCGTGGTGGTGGAGTACAGGAGTCGACGGGAGAGCGCTCGGGGGTTGATTTATCGTGGCTAGACACGACACGATAAATTGACCCCTGCTGGATTGGCGGGCAGCGTAGACATTCCCTCCCTAACTCACTAAGGGTATCAGGAGAAGAACACACATGTCTTGACACCCAGTCCCTTCCCCTAACTACTGGGCACAGTGCTTCCTGCTTCACCAAATTTTTGTAAGTCCAAAATCAAACATCTACAAGCATTTTCCAGCCAAAAAAAATACTTCAAATAAGCTTACTCCAAATCCATTTTACATTACACTTTCCATAACGTCATCTTTGCCTGTAACGCGTGGAGTCTCATGATACATACCACAAGAGGCTCGGAGTACTTCATATATGTGATTCTATTCTTCTTTTGCTGGTTCCCATCCTACTCTTGAATCTAAGGCTGGGGGGGTAATCCACAGTTACGGCATCCACTCAGAAATGGGATAAGAGCCAAAGTAATGCAGATTGTTTTTGTTCTTTAGAAAAATAGTAAATGCTCCATATTTCTTGCAAAAGAAAGAAGATGACTATATATTATTTGCCACTTTGATTTTTTTGTTGGATTTATTAGCGCTTATATAATCATTTCTATAATAAGCTTATAAATTAATATACAATGTCTTTTGCAGCTGTAGAATTAAATTTATTCCCAAATGCCTTGGTTTCTGACACAATTAGGTTTTGATACATGGATGTTTCTGCTTACTAGAAACTTGGTAGTGAAGGACTCTACATTTTGAATGGCCTCATAAATATATATTAAATTTAATTTTCTAAGACACAAAGACCATTTTCCTTGTATTTGGGTGGTTTGGGGGCTGGTTGAGAGAAACATTTTCTATAAATATTTTTGTTGTGTACAACTAATTAGTTCATAAATCAATATGTCCCAGTATGGTGCAGATTATCCAAAAGCCAGCAAAAATAGTTGAACATAACTGAATTCTTCAGATTTTTACCTCTCTCTAGTGCATACTTTTTACCAGACTATTAACTTTTGTGTACCTATTTAGCTGGTCAGTAAGCATTTAGTAGTGCCTCCACATTTTCTCATTCTACTTCCTAAAATTTTATTCCTATTTTTTTCCTTCCACTTCATTCTTTATCCTAATACATGCAGCACTCCAAGCAATTTTAAATCATTACTAAACATGCTCCAAGTATTTTCCTTATTCTGTGGTATCCTGATGTGAAACCATTAAGCAATAATCAATAGTAAGAATCACAGAATGAGCATTCTGAGTCTGTAGTGAAAACTCCCATAGTTTTCCATCTTCAGCTCTCTAGTAAAAGCATCTCTCGGTAAGCAGGTGAAAGGAGATATGAAAGCTACAAATATAAATTCCTGATGGATGGCATGTTTCTTTATACAGGCTCAGCTGATCAATTTAGGCTCCATCAATGTTGGAAAATGTAATCCCACTGTCCCTGCTGTTTCAGTTCTGTGGAAAAACAGACCCTTCATTCTCCAAAGGTTGGCTAATCTGCATTCACCAAGGATCTGATCCAAAGTCCATTGAACCCAATAGAAAGCCTTCCAATGACTACAACAGGTTTTGAATCAGGCCTTAAATTAACTTGAACAATAACAACTTCAAGAATAGATTAAACCACCACCACAGAAGCATTATCCCACAAATGCTATTTTATACACATTTGTACAGGTCCATTTATTGTGCATTATCCTACTTCAACATTGAAATTGTCCTCATCTGAATGTTTTCACAGCCACAGCCCTATTCGTGACAAACATCTTCATTTTAAAATCACACCTATATGGCAGGCACCATTTCTATGTAGCTGACAAAAGGAACTCCCTAGCTGAAGCTGTTTTCACCTACTGTTTGTTTGCCAGCAGCATGTTTTTCTGTTTAATCTGTGTTAACATTTTGTTCAGTTATCCTAACTGGCATGTATTTTATCTGATAAACATCCCCTTCTTTTCTTTTTTTCTATACAGAAACATTATTTATGATGTTATTGTTACAGACAACTAAACAGCCAAGAGGGAAACATTTGCTTTCCTACATGTACCAGCACATGCTTTTAAACCTAATTCAGTCTTCTTACAGAAATATATAAAACTTAGTAAAAGTCTTCATGGTGTATCTTTGGACTCCAGTGGGGACAGGGAGCAGGGGTAGAGAAGTAGTAAGTGTTCAGAACAACAGGAAAACCAATGCCATTTCAGGCTTTTTAGGTAACATCTTAGTCAACTTTCTCCTTTTTAGGCCCAATTCTTCACGTCTCAACAGTTAAATGAACTAAACGTGTATTTCATAATATGAATCAAATGTATAGCTGAAAGTATGAGAGACTAAAGTCTAATCTGTTTAATTTAGCCACATACTTAAGATTGCGTTTGTGTGAAGGGGCGGGGGGGAGAGATTTTAATTTTCTCTAATTTGTCAAGGTTTTCAATTTCATTTGAATGGTTTCTGCTGGAAAGCCTCTCTCATTTCATCTCATCTGATCTACCTGGTGTTCATGAACTCCACTTCATGGTCATTCCCTTCATCCAATCAGGGACCATTTCACAGTGGGAGACAGTACTATTAACATCGTTCTTTCTGCCTGGTCTCAGTCTCAGCAACATCCACCAATGACTGGATGTCTAGGAGTCTAATGGACATATCTGGACTCACTAAGTCCCAGTAGTATGCTGTGAAGTAGACATCTGTCTCTAAAGAAAAACATCTAATCAACTGTAGAGACTGAATTCAAACACACACTCATGCACACTGCACTGTCTAGATGGCCAGTTTTCTTTCCTCTGTGAAAGCCCCATTTGCCAAGGAACTAAAAGCTCACCAGTCTTTGTAATTGTTTTACTTACTAAAGCACTGAAGTCCTTCTGCAGCCTATACACTTTGTATCGCTGCATGGTTAAGATGTACACAAATTGAGAATAAATCAAATTCACGTGATCACTTATGTCACTCAGTTGGAGGCTGGAATTTATTTCCTGTTTTACCTTTTCTAAGTGATACATTATGGGACCTTCCACAAGCAAACAGCCTTGGAGATGAACTTTTACTATATATACACACACACACCTAGAATGAGTAACTCACATGTTTTCCTTCCTGCTACCACTACTTTACTAAGGTGTTTAAGCCCAGAGCAGTAAAAGGAAAGCTGCTGTACAGAACAGATAGTTCTCTCTGCATTTCCATTCAAGCTCTCAATATCTCTGCTGAGACTGCAAACATGGGAGCCAATTTCCATGTCAACAGGAAGTCTGGCTCACAGCAGATCCATGAGGAGGTAACAATAGTCACAGCATTACAAGGTGGTGGCACCTATCTGGCCAGTTAATGGCTACCCAGAATGGTCTGTCTGTACTCTCACAGAACTAGAGGAAAGAGACATACAGGAAGATTATAAAAACGTCAGGATCTAGGAGACAAACACCCCAAACAGACTGTCACCAAGTCAATTAGTACCAAATGTTGGTGTTTTTGACATGAACGCCTGCCAGTGGGAAATGGACTCTGAGCACTGAATTAATTTCATGCGTGCCACCAAACAGCCAGTAGACAGTACCAAGTTTCAGTCACTACTACCTTGCACTGGATTTGATTTGATGACCTATCAAATGCTCTGGATCCCATTACCATTCCACTTCTATTCAGGATCTATGCTACTGTGAACATATTTAAAAAAAAAAAAACCTTAACACGTTACCTTTCTATGGGTCTCCCACTATGTTTGTATATAAGTGCTCACAATGTGCTAGGAATTTTGCAGACATATAGGAAGGAATGGTTCCTGTGCACAAACTCAGGACAGAGAGGCAGGTGGACAAAAGTTATGGCCAGAGGCATAGTGAACAGCAATATTTTAATACCAGTTAATTAGATTCACTACTGACAGCAGGGCAGAAATCACCTTTTAAGGGGAACTAAAATGAGGACAGAGTAAAGACCTTCACAAATAATACATACATATTAATATATTATATGTGTGCATTTTTACAAACCCATCAATACTTTGGACTGTCTGCCATCTGAAGATCTCTAAGTGACTTACAAATATTCACACCTCTATGAAATATTATTTATATGCATTACACAAACATACACAGAGAATAACTGAATCTCTATCCATCCACTCATTCGCAAGGTATTTTTGCTAGCACATTGCTTTTTAACCTAACCAATCTTCTCTTTTGTGCACTTTTCTTGTCTAAAGGACTTTTTCACCCTGCTCCTTACCATGGAGCACCAGGAGGTCTCCCAAGTGCCCTTTGTTAACAGAATCAGCCTTTTATCTGCAGTGTCTCCCGCAATGAAAAAGAGACAGGACTCAGGTGTAGTAAACACAAAAGTGATGCTGTACTGAGGAACACTGGACAGTACTCAGCATCCTAGCTCGGTAACTCAGACAGAGGAGCATAGCTTGTGCTATGTAGCGTAGTCACCCAACCACTAGAATGGGCTGACTCCATACCTGCCTAATTGCCCAACAATGGGAGTCTGCAGGACAACTTGATTCCCACCACTGCAGCCAGAAGGCACAGGAAGGACAACTCACCCATCTGCATGCCTGCTCAGGAGGGAGATGCACGATGAAACAACAGATGCTTGGACAGGGGTAGGTGGAAGGATCAGTGAATCTGCATAAGAAAAGAACATGGAATTGATGAGTATATTCAGGGTGGAGAGGGAGAGGAGTGTGTTTTACCCAGAAAATGTCACAAGTATCACTGAGTGATGTGGAAAATTTTTGGAGGAGCCCCTTGTTAAAATTTGGCAGCACATCACAGCCTCTTAGATCAGCTAAGGTAGTTGATATGTTAATAAACCTTCCTGCTCACAGAACTCTGGAGCAGCTTTCAGAAGTTAGGCTAACCAGACAGCAAGTGTGAAAAATCAGGGCATTTCTTTTTGGGGGGTGGGGGGGTGGGGGGAAAGAGGTGGTACAGTTGTCTATATAAGACAAATCCCCTAATATTGGGGTGTCTGGTCTGGTGTCTGGCCTGGTCACCCTAACATAAGTATAATATAAAACAGCATTTCTGGTTGCTGAAGGTAATGTATAATCAAAGCAATGTAGAATGACTTCAGTAAATTTGTGAACAGGTATGTGTAATAGTGTTGTTTACAGTTTAAAATATCTTCTGGGCAACATCTAGCATGTATGGGTGAGATTTGCAAAATCACTCACTGCTGGCCTAATTCTGCTCCCAACGTGACCATTTGAAAATCCCAACCTGTGTCTGCCTGTGGCTAGTACATGTAACTTAACTTTATACTTTACTTTTAACCCCGATACACGGGGTTTTTCTGCAGAACAGTTTCAACAGCCACAAGATGTAGGATTTTCAAAGCATCTTAACTGAGTTAGGTGCCCAAATCTCATTGAACTTCATAGGAGTTGGGAACCTAACTTTTGGCTTATTTAAAAAGCCCAGCTCTAGTTATTCAATTGTCATAATTTAATAAACACCTAAATTCTATAGGTAAAACATTCTCCCACACTCAGTTTAGCCTGACATCTTGTGGCCACAAAGAACATAACATTCTGCAAACCAAGCATCTGTACACTGTCATTGATGCACATGAGCATGCTAATGACTGCATTATAATTTACACAAAAACAAAATAGCTCTGGAGCACTGCAAGATGCAATTATTTCATCTAATTAAATGTGGTATTGGTCTCAGTTTTGTGTGTTAATGGGACAAGTTGATACATAATTTTAAAGACAAAATGCATTACAAATAATCTGGGATTTTGGTTAACTAAACTATTTCAGTATGCAGTGTTGTTGTAGCTATGTCAGTCCCAGAATATTAGAGAGACAAGATGGATGAGTATTGGATCTTTTATTGGTGAGAAAGCTTGTCTCTGATATTACCTCATTCTCCTTGTCTTTCTAAAGTATTTCAGGTAATATTCTGAAATCCTAAAAATTGATCACATACATTCAAAACTATTATTTATCTAATGTGAGATGTAAATGGCCAAAGCATCTGAAAGTTTTCCTTTGAAATTGTGACTTTTAATATTGCCTTGATTTTTGCCATAGGGACTGAATTGCTCTCTGCAACAAGACTAGAACATGCAGTGCTTTAGTGCAGTGGACTTTAAAAAAAATCCCTCTCAGACAGGATGATAAATAGCTAATGAAAAATAGTTTTCTTGACTACAAACATACGAACAGTTGGGGGTAGGAGGAACCCAGTGATGAGTAGCTTGTGTTGCTTTTCCCAAAGAGAGGACTATTGATTCAATTTAAAGAAAAATACATTTAATCTTGTGGGGGGTGCAAGGGAGAGAGGGGGGCTCAGACTGGGAAGATTTGGAGCACTGCCTGAAGAGGTTTGACGCTCGCTGCGACTTCTCCTTTTTGGCATAGCAAAGAACAATTAAGCAATAACACAGTGAAAATAATTTATGCGGTTTGATTTCTTTCCATACCAGATGTTCCCACATTTATTCAGATCTCCCCAAGTCTTTTTCTCCAGCCAAGAGAGTGAGCAGCTGTTACTTCTGAAGTCAACACCAAAGCTGGTTAATGGATCTGCTAGCTGGAGATTGCTACATGACAGATCCAACTGCACTTCTCCCCGGGGCCTGCTCCTGTTCCCATTGAAGTTAACAGCAAAACGCTCATTGTCTTTAGAGGGAGCGGGATAAGGTTGCTGGAGAGCAAGGGCATCAGTTAGCTAATGCACCTGTTCTTCCACCAAGCCCCAGCCAATGATTTCAGGTTCACTTGCATTCCCTTGGCATTCCAGCTGGCACCATAAGGCTTTGCAGCTCATCAACTGGCCAGCTCCCCTTTTCATTTTTTTTAAAATTAGGCCCGCATGGAGAAGATTTTTTAAAAATAATTGCAACATTCAAATTAGAACCACAGGTGGGTTTGTTAGTTTTATGTTAGTAATGAGCATAAAGTTCAAGAAATGGCAACTACAAAGCTGCATCTCATTAGCATCCTGAATAACCTGAAATATTACTGACTACACACAATATTGGGGCCAGAGCCTCAGCTAGCGTAAACTGGAAAAATCTGCATTTTTGACTTCTGTGAAACTACACCAGTGTGTACACCAATTGAGAATCAGGCTGTTGGCCTTTAAAGGGACAATGCTAGCTAATTTACTCCAAGTTAGCTCTTGTTCATCATTTTAAAATAAAGCAAAAGTCTTCATAGAAGTGTTGTCATGACTTTGTATTTGTACTAAAAGCATTTTGTTATGTATGTTTTGCTTGGATTTAAGTGTTCGGTGGCCAGCTGCTGATGACAGAGACTACAAGGCCCAAGAGGGGCTGAAAGGAAGATTTGTCCCTACTGCTAGCCCCCTGATCTCTCCTTGTAGTGCTGGAAAAAAAGGGGCATGTAACTGTTATGCACCTTTATATTTGTAGGAGCTATGCACGTCTGTAGAAACAACAGCCATTTAATTCTCAGAGTTGTTGCAACCTACTACATGAGACACACGGTCTCTTTCATGAAGAATTTACTTTAGTTCTTTCTTGTTTTCCTTTATCCAAAAGGAAACTATTTATAGGCTAGTGTGTTTTTGTGTATAGAAGCATAACAGGTGGAGCTGGAAGGAACTCATATGGGACAGTGTTACCTGAGATACCCCCTCCATTGCAGGAACATGCCCCACAGGTCCCCAGCCTGAGCTCCCCCTGTCAAAAGTCCCTCAGACCAATGGTTCTCAACCAGGAGCCTGGGGGCCCAGAGCAGGTTTCAGGGAGTCGGCCAAAATAAACTAGAGAGCAGGGCCAGCGTTAGACTTGCTAGGGCCCAGGGCAGAAAGCCGAAGCCTGAGCCCCGTTGCCTGGGGGTGTAGTCAAAGTCTGAGCAACTTTGCTTTGAAGGGCCCCAAGTGGCATAGGGCCCCAGGCAATTGCCCTGCTTGCTACCCCCTAACACAGACCCTGGTTTTTAATCTATTGGATATACAGAAAAACAGTTGTTGTGGCACTGCTGGGCCCCAGAGTTTTTATAGCATATTGCGGGAGGGGCTCAGAAAGAAAGGTTGAGAACCCCTGCGTCAGACCAACACGCCATAGGCTAAAGCTACCCTTTCTTGTAGGCTTATTTGTTAACATAGAGACTTCAAAATAACCTAAAATAAAGTCCAATATCATAACTCAAAAGTTCTTACTTGGCTCTGTCATTTTCTGCCAATCCAAGCTCTTCTTCTAGCCCACTCATCCTTCAGAGTGGATGGCCCCTGGGCTTCCCCCAGGGGCTCTTAATAGACCCCAAACAAAGGAGTCAGACAAACAGTACCCACCTGTCCTGGAGCAAAATGAAAGTCCTGTGCAATCAGTGTCCATTCCCCTGAGCTTATCCTCCTCCTACTACATCCTGGATTCTTCCCCCATACTCTGCTCCTGAGCTTTCCTGCTCCCAGAGCTCTTTTCCCCAGCACCTTTCTACTGCTTCCCTTACCAGGACTCTCTGGCAGGCCACACCCTTCCCCCCTCAATCAACTGAGACCCCACCTGCAGCTCATTATAGGGAGCACCTATTCTCTTCTCAGCTACATCTCATTAGTAAACAAGGCTGGCTGGCTGGCTGGCCTCAGCCCTCTGGCCCTTAAAGGGGCAGACCACCCTATTACAGACAGCAATACTCAGCCAGAGCTCTTGTTGCCCACCCGTGGGGTCTACCAAAAAAGAGTAGAGCCATCAAACACAAGCAGGAGAGACAGCCTGGGCTGCTAGTCAGCAGTAACCACAGTGAAGGGCAAAGTTTAAATGCCCAGGGGCGACCTTAGCTAGATTATTACATAAGGTTTGACAGACAAATCAGGGGGCATGATTCCCATCACCAAACAGCAATAACGATAGTAGAGTGGTGTTGGTGGGATGAGTAAGGTGATAGAGCAACAAAATTACAGCATCTGCATAGCAAAGAATGTGGGTTTGGCAGATGGTGGAGTGGGCCACCAGGGAGAATAGCTGAAGGGACGCCCCCTAGCCTAGAGAAAGGAAGAGGGTCTTACTGGACAGTGCCACTAGTACCGTGGTAAGGGCGAGAGAGTGGCTGGCCTACCTAGTCACAGTATCATGGCTAACTTGCCATACTAAGGGGCAGGAGAGGCTAGAGAAGAGCAGCACAGTGGGGTAAAGGGTGCAGGGAGAGCATGGTTTGTGTCTGAGCACACTGCCAGTGGCCAGCGAGGGAACCCCACTGGTGCATAGGCATGGGAACTAAGAGTGTGGGGGGTGCTGCAGCACCCCCAGGTTTTGCATGGGATCCCGGCCACCAGCCCCCACCCACCCACACAGAGTCCTGGCCACCAGTTCCATGCTTGGGGGCTCTGCCTCCGGCCCCAGGTCCCAGCTGCCGGCCCCGGTCCCAGCTGCCAGCCCCAGTGCTATTGGTTGGTGAGCAGCGCATGAGAATCTCCTGGGGAAGGGGAAGTTGTTCTCAGGACCTGCCCAAGCAATCTGGTACAACAGTGGTGCCATTTAACCGAAATGCTTTCATGGGCGTGACATGTCACTAAATTTTAGAGGTTAAACATTCTCCTGGGGTATTTGCAGCCCAAGCAATGTAGCACCGTGCAGGTGCATGAGAGCCAGAGTAACAGTGAAGCAGACCAGAAAGATAAGAAAACTGACCAGTTGTTTTCTTTGTCCAGGTTCATTGAAGTGAAAGAGGGCAAACGGTGCAAAAGAAAACAGGTAAGTGACATGGTAACATTCTTTCACTTTCAATAATTAAATGTAAATTAATAGGCATGGACATTTGGAGTTTAAGTATAAAATTCTGGTCTTACTGAAGTTTGACTTCAATGCGGCCAGAATTTCACCCTAAGTGTACTGAGCTAGATCCTAACCTGGTGTAAATAAATGGAGCTATGCCAATTTATACCCTATGAGGATCTGGTTCTAGGTTTTTAACCTTTAACTATGCTGTGAAACTGTTTGTATTAATAGGAAAAAATATTTTACCATATTTTTGCTCTGCTTACATCATACAGTTTTAGGGCCAAATTCTTCTGTTACACTGCTACAAGCTCCCACCGGAGTCACTGTGAATGAGAGCAGTGTTTGTCCTGTTTTGCTTATACTCCTATGGTCTGAATTTTAAAGGTATTTAGACATCTAAAAATGCATATAGGCACCAAGTGGGATTTTTCAGAAGCATCTAAATACCTTTAGAAATGTGGCCTTTTGTCCACTAGTGATGAAACAAGACACAAGATGTCTTGTGGTGTTGAACAACGATAAACCATCTTTGTTATTTTATGTCTTTGAGAGGTGACAAGTAGAAGTGAGTATTACATCAAACACATTAGAAGGGTGCAGTAAAATGTAGCATATAGGAAATCTTATGCTACTTAATCCAATGCAACCCTCCCCCCAAAAAAACCACTTTGCTGCATTTCTCTCAATGAGAAAACCCCCAAACAAACAGAAACCTTTCTCTTCACCAGTGCCTCCTTAGAATACATGGCAATCAAATGGCTTTCTTCACTCCAACTGCAGCAAGATCATTTTGCTTGCTCAATTATAAACACAAACACGAAAAAAAAGGTATATTCTGTGAACCTGGGAGAGAGCAGATGTTAATTGCAATGAAATGGTATAAAGGCCAAACCTGAATTTGTTTTGTTTTGTTTTGCATTAGTTCAGCAGCTCTCTTAAACAGCACGAACTGCAGTGTATGCAAATCTTGATAGCTTGACAAAGATATATGTAGCCTTGCCCATTCTATATAGCCAAATGTCACTTATGTAGTTATTAGCAATCGCCCTTAAGCTAATGCATCATATGTCTTTTTGACAAGAAGAATGGCTGGGTTCTGACAAAGAATAATTTTGATTTCAACACCAAAATGTTAAAATGTACCACTTATCCAGCTAAGTAAAATATAGAAATCAAACATGAAATTATTAGTGAGAAATGTAAGCAGAAGAACGGGGCTTGTATAATTTTATTAGAATGATATGTCTCTGGACTGCCCCATGTGATAGGAGCACTCACTCTTGAGTGCCTCCTAGTGGCTGAGTGTGGTACCACAGTCCTTTTCTCAACCCTGGCACCCCCTGCAGGCTGCCAGATGACCTTAGTGGGTCTTAGTGGGACTGAGTCACAAGTCCAAATAACAAAACTATTTATTTGCCCTTACTAGGGCCTTCAAGCCTAGCTCTGAGTCCCTTTAAATACAGCCCTTTTGGGGGGCTCAATCCTTTCTCCTTTGTGGGGTTTATGCCCCATTTACTTATGGCTGGTAGGGGAACCTGGGCCTGCCCACTACTCCAATTCCAACCCAGGGACCCTATACACCTCAGCCACATACTGCTTACCTCAATCCTTCACTGCACTTTCCCTCAGCCTCTTCTTGCTGGCCCTTTTATCTCCAGTCCTATCTCAGGGCCAACATACTCAGGCTCTTCTCTTTCAGCAATCCCAATTATGTAAATTCAACCAGCGATATCCTCTGGCTAGTTGTTGAGCTCCTTTGGCCAGAGAGTACACTTCTGGTTTCCAGCCTGGAACTGACCTGCTAAGGCCCATGACAGGATTGGAAGCAGACCTTCACTGCTCCTTTCTAGGGGAGACCATGTGGCCTCCAGTAGGGAGCTGCCAAGGCCAGGCACATCCTGTCATGCTGTAATATAGTTCTAAACACCATACAGTAAAGTAAATGATACAAAAAATGGAAGCTATAGTATTTTGAGACTATACAATCATTAATGCCCCAGGGAACTACAGCTCTCTCCCTCAGATGTATGTCAACACTTACTAACCAGCCATCTACAGCACTCTCAGATCACAAGCAGTTTTCCATAGAGGAAGAAGTTTGCCCTTCTACAATGTGCCCCGAACTTAGTTGGTTTCCAGGTCTTGTAGATCCTCCCCTTAGGCTAAGGGGGGGGGTCCTTTAGCAGTGGGCGGGCTTATGCCCACCCACTTCCTGGATCCCAATAGGTACAATGTGCTCAACTATGACCAGGAAAGGAAACACTTGTCAAAGCAACTGGGGTTAATCTACACAACAGCCAACATATTGAACAATTCACTTGTCATTTGGACAGGATCTTAACAGATCTTAACAGACTAGAACATGCAGTGTTCTTAAAGTCCTGGAAAGTGGAGAGCACCCTCAGCCACAACTGAAGTCAATGGGAGTTGAGGGCACTCAGCAATCTATTGGTTTGGGCCTTTAACCTCTACCTCAATTTCCCTATTTGTAAAATAAGGCTGCTAATACTCACCTACCTGTGCATTTGAGATCAGTTCACTTCAGATCAATCTAGAGTTTATTCTTCTTCTGTACAATGCTTTTATCTGGGCATTCAGAGAGCTAAGACTTCGGCCAAGATATGTTCTCAAGCATATACACAGCAAGAAACAGTTACCCAATGGGGAGAAAAAATATATATATACTAGCATCAGCACCTACTCTGTAATAAGCAACCAGAGTAGTAATAAGCAGAGCAATTACTGTTAGTGGCTACAAATAAGCCCAGGCATCACCCTTTAAGGTGACAAGTAATTGACCCAAAATTCCAGATTGCTAGTCAAGATAACAAATTTTGTTTTTTAACCCAATTTCCTTTTGTGTATAGAGATAGGCAGAGGTCTAGTGGCACGGGCCATTCTAGACATAGCTACATTGTAGAATAACTGGTGCTTGCATGGGAAGCAGTCACATTCTGTTATGTCACAGGTTAATCATTGTCATTTTACACAACAGCCATATCACACAGTCTATTAATTATTACTTAATGTCACTTCTCCACTAAATGTTTTGATGAATTCTACTGGTAATTAAAACTGTTCTTCTAGTGACATTCAAATAAAGCTTCTTGATGTTCACAGTGTAACACTGATGAAGAGGCAGAAAGAGAAAATATCTAGTTTTATTAGTGTCATACTGACTGGATGCATGTTATTTGTAGTACAGCTGTTTTCTGTACTTATTGATTCATTTCACTGATAACTACAATATATTCAGGACAAGTCCAAAAATCAAGAAAAAATTCATTTGTGTCTGCTAGATAAGCCACTGTAGTTATGTATACACATTAAGAATGCAGAAAAGACGATCCCATAAGTTTGAATATTAATTTATGTTAATAATTCTAGGGATAGTCAGTCAATAGAAAGATCTACTTTCATATCTCATACAGAATTAACCATAGCTTTTTACTTGTTTAAATATTTATGGTAAAGTATTTTATGATAATAATACTTAGTATAGGCCAGATTCTGATCTCAGGTATGCCATGGATAAACTCTTTTGAGTCCATGAATTTACTCCAGATTAACACCAGTGTGAGATCAGAATCTGGCCCTATAGGTTCATATAGGTAACATTTGTCAGTGATTCTCTTTTTATATTATCATACTTTTCTTCACCTACTCTCACTATACTTATGATTTAATTTAATTTTAGTAATACTTAAAGGTTTGTTACATCGCAAACACTAAAGATGAAAATTCCATCATCTTCCTAGAATTGTCCTTGGAAGTCTACTTGGTGTGCTGAGTTATAACAAAGGTTCTCCCCAACAATAAGGATGAACATTATTAGTAAAGGATTGAAGTGCAATTGCCCCTTACAATCTAAGTGCCCTTTTTCCAGAGCCAACCTGGCTGAGCCAATACAATTTCGGAGTTGGGCCTACTCAGCTGGGTTTTATTACCTTCACCCTGAGAGGTATTACTACTCCTCTCCTAAATACAGTACACTTAGCATTCCCTCACACAGAACACTTCGGTTTTATCTAACTTGAATTGAACCCGAGAGATAGTCAGTGAATGAAACACTACAAAAACCATACAATTTCAAAAAGTTTAATCCCTTAACTTGAGAGCCTTTCCTGGTCTAGTGAATCTACAGCTTACTTACGGAAAGCAATTATGTAAGGCATTCAGAAATCCATGAGTGAAATTCTGAAACAGAGTGCATGCCTGCACAGGAGAGTAAAAAACCCTTAACTCGCTTGTGCTTACTACCTGGAACTTAGGGCATAAGGGGAGATGCACACCCACTTACACTCCAGCCTCCTGAAGAAGGCAGCTAAGGAATAGACAGAGTATTGTCTCTGTCCTACCACCCCCAATTCCCATGGGATAGATGAGTGGCACATTACTACCTGCCTAGAGCAAAGTGATGATGGGAAAGGATCATGGCATCCTGGGTCACAGTTTCTGCTCTGCACTGCTCCTGAGGGCTGGTCCACACTAAGCCCCCAGTTCGAACTAAGATACGCAACTTCAGCTACGTGAATAACGTAGCTGAAGTCAAAGTATCTTAGTTCGAACTTAAAGGTACTTACTGCGGGTCCACACGCAGCAGGCAGGCTCCCCAGTCGACTCTGCCTACTCTGCAGGATTACCGGCGTCGACGGCAAGCACTTCCGGGATCGATTTATCGCGTCTAGACAAGAT